CCCGAAGAAGAAAACTGAAAGATCAGTGGGACCCTGTGGTTTGCATTGCCAGTTGCAAAGGCTTTTCAGTGTGCTCCTGCGTGCGAAGCTCCGAGCCCTGGTGAGCACAAGGGCATGTTCCAAGAGGTGACCCCACAACATGTGGGTTAAATAGCTGGAGATAGGTTTGTCCATGCAGGTATTTAAGGGATAATCTGTGTTGCTTTATATTGTGCCAAGAGAGGCTGTCTCAGCTCTGGTCTCTGCCTGCTGCATTTCCAGCTCTGCCCTAATTTTTGGGCAAGTCTCTCCATATGTACAATAGCTCGGAACAATTCTGTTCCCTGGAGAGCCTTTGAGGTTTAACATTTGTAAAATGCTTTGAGATCTGCAGATAAAGGAAAGCAAGACAATAAACAGCAACCAGGGCTGTGCCAAAGAAATAATACCCTGTATCACCACCGCAGAGCTGAGCAGGATTGGGTGGAGATGCCTTTTGTTAGAGGGCAAACTACTGCTCCAGGAGCCCCTGCTGCAGCCTTGCTTGGGAGCCCTGCTCGCAGGAGAGGTGCAGCTAAGCCTTGACCCTGGCCTTTAAAGGGGCTTGTGTTAAGGAGGTAACATCTGTGGATAAGAGCATGATTGGGACACTGAGGTGAGCTCCACTCTGTCCCCTCCACACCCCCCCCCCGCCCATGCTTCCCATTGCCTGGGGTGCTCTCAGGCTGTCCCAGGGCTCCCTGTGTGAAGACCTGGTCCGGAAGATGCTGCCTCTCCCTGCAGTGCATCATGAAATCCCCTGGTGAAGTTAATGCACTCCATAAACCTCGTTAACTTTCTTCTAACTGCCTTTGCCTGTCCTTCGAGTGAACTCCTTTCTAGTCCCCCAGACAAAGGCAGGCAGGAGTGGGCAGGGACGGAGGAACCGGGAGCTGCCGAGCTCCTCCCCGGCATTCCGGGCAGGCGGGAGCGCGCCTGGGGCTCGCACCACTGGGCTCCTCGGCGGACCATGGCATCCCCGGACAAGCTGGCTTGGGGTAGGTTCTTCTTGCCAGACATCTGGCGACACTGGGGTTTTTTTTTTTGGCAGATGGAGTGTGAAGGAATCGTTTTGAGCGGATCCGTTGGGAATTGCGCTCTCGAGGGATTGGGAGGCAGGTGTGCTGCAGTGTCAGGCTGGAAGTGTTCAGGGATCCTTCTCCCCTCTTCCCCATGCTCTGAGCACCTGCTTTTCCGTACCGTTGCGCTTTTGGGCAGGTGCAGGGAGTGTTAATGCTGCTTGAGGACATACAGCCCTGTTTTGGGGGCAGGTTACGTGGCTCTACAAAAATAGCTCATCCCTTTCTGCTGCTTCCCTGCATTCCCCCATCAACCTATCCATAAATCCCTTAAAACCTATTAAAGCAAGCTGGGACGCAGCAGGAAGAGAAGGGTACAGAGTTGGAGGTTGGCTCCAGCATGCAATGGACTTAGTTGCCCCCTGAGGGTTTCTTGAGTGGGGTGGTGAGTGGTGGTCCCCATGCTGCGAGCTGCTGTGGATAACTGCTTCAGCTGGAGTGGGGGGGTAGCATCACCTGGAGGGGAGTTCCTTTCCCTATAAGGGGCTGGGGCGATGGTTTTCATTTCAGCTGGCTTTAGAAAGGAGTCAGACTGATGCCCAGCCATCTAGAGATGGCCTTACTTTAATTTGTTCATGTCTAGCTTTAACTGAAGAGAAACCAGTTTATCGGAATCAAATACAAATGGTGCCTGCTTTGAGATGAGGGGGGCTACGAGAGCTCTTGCTCTGCTTGGGAAACCTACATCTTTTAGTTTTAAATAAACGTGGGCTTGTGTTTAATGGAGGCAGTTATGCTGTGTGCTTTATAATGGGTAGGGTTCCTATGGGATGCCAAGGAGCAACTGAGGCTTTGGGATGCTGCTGAGATAAGGGGGAATAGACAAAGCCGTGCAAGTGCAGAATGGGCTTCCTATGAGGGAGTAAAGCCGAGGTCATCCAAGGTAGCTGTGTGCTCCTTGTCCCAATCGCAGCAGCGTGGGCAGGAGCTGGACACCCAGACCCTCAATCGTGGGCACCATGGAGGTTTGCAACCACCTTGTCCTCCTCTTGGTTCTGCCTGGGGCTGAGAGGGCCCAGGGAGCAGCTGAGGCAGCTTGCACAGAGGTGGTTGTCACCTCCAGGCTCCGACCTGGTCCCTGTGCTATGGTGGCAGAAGCAGATGGGTCTCTGGTGTTGCCTGAAAGGCCAGAGGTGCAGAGCTGTGCTTGTGCAAACAGCTGAGCCGGCCAAGACCTTCCTCTTCACATCCGTCCTGCCCTGCCCCGTCTTTTGGGGCACTTTGTGCTCCAAATGAGGAACTGGTTTCCATTGAGTTTCCTCCTGTCTTACACGTTCAGCAGCCCCTGGAAAGTCCAGTGAGCCCCAGAACTTGCTCAGGATAAGTGATGGGTGAGAAGGACCCTTCGCTTCCAGAGCAGCGAGTGCTGAATGCTCTTGAACCACCTCGTGAGCCTGGGGCAGCAAGTAACCATGGGGAGCTTGGTCCATGGCCAGGGTGGCTCAGGATCTCCTCGGGAGCAGAGGCAGGAGCTGCCTGCAGAGCACGTGCCCTAGAGGCTGCCCCAGCAAACTGGAGCTCCAGGGTTTTAACCCTCTTCAGACAGCCAGAGCCTCTGCACTTACGGGTTGGGCACTGATGCAGTTCATGGAGGGGAAAAAAAAGCCCTTTGAGCTTCTCGTAGTTCTGAGAAACATGAGAAACTTATTAATGGTCAATTTTACTAGTCAGTTGTGTTGGTATTCCTGATAAGAAATATTACTGCTTGTCTAGACAAAGGCACTAGAAATCGTACCATCATGTAATGGAGACACAGACAAGATAATCTAATAGGTCTCTTTTTGTATCCAGCTTGTTCCCCTGAATAGCACACAGCACTGATGTGAAGAGCATTTAAAGGGCTTGGATGTGGCGCATGAAGCCAGGCTGGATGCTTGCATGGGTTTGCCACGCTGGCTGCAAAGCAGGGGGAGAAAACCAGCTCCCACCCTTGCCAACAGCGCTGCATCACCCATCTGCAGCCCAAATGATGGATCATTGCATGCCCAGGGCAATGTAAACCATGTAAATTAGGTGGAAATGTTGTTCCTTGGTGGTGTAAGAATCCGAAGAATAAAACCTGCTTTCATGAGACCTTTGTGGGGCTTCCTAGGAATTGTGCAGTGGGGTTTTCTTGGTTTTTTTTTTGTTGAGAATGAGAGCTCAGGGCAAGGAGGACCAGGTCCCACCAGTCACTGCTAAGGGATGCTAGAGCTGCCCCTGGGAAATGGTTTGAAAGACAGCAGGCAGGAAGAAAGCGGGGGTTAGTCCTAGAAAACAGGAGCCGTGCTACACAGTGAGTGCCATCTACTGGCACCTCGTCCCTGCTATTGACACTTTAACCCCGGCAAGAGGGAGAGCTGTCGCGAAGGTCTCGGCATGGGACCTGCTGTGGGGGCTATGGAGGAAGGGCTCGGGGTGCCCAGCCTCTTGACAAAGGGACAGGCATGGGCTTCACCTCCATTCCTTCAGCAGTGTCCTCATCCAAGCAAGTTGAGGTCCCACCTGGTGCAGGAGGAGCCCAGAACCGCTGCTGAGGTTGACACATCCCAGCTTAAGCTGGATGCTTCATACCCTATCTCCATGAGTGATTTAACGTGGGATGCATCCACACTGCTGTTGGCAGAAGCTGTGCCACCCTCCATTCCCATCCTCTCCCTTGACATGCTTGTCTACACACTGGACCAGACCAGATGAGAGGTCTTGATGTTTGGAAGACCAACCCACCAACACCAGCTTGGTCCTTTAATCTCTTCACCAGTGTTTGGGCTGCTTGGAGATGGGTGTTGTGATCTGGCTGGATGGACAAAGGGAACCAGGGCAACTAGAGAAGCTTTTTGGTGTCCCTTGGCCTATGTGTGATTAGGAACAGGGTCTCAGAGGTTGACTGACAGCCTAAACCCAGAGTGCAAAGCATCACTGATTTCTTCTGAGGTCAGGGGGCTGATGGAGACCTTGCCTGATGGGCTCTGTGCTGTCTGCATCATAAGCCTTCATACTTTAGGGGTCCAAGGGCAATTTGGGCCATGGAGTATGGTTATGCAAAGGTTTTGCAGGGGAAGGGACAAGGGAACATCTTGAAGTGCTTATATTTAAAGAGGAAATAAGGGAGTCATGGTTCTTGGAAATGGGGCTTCTTAGCAGCAAGTCCATCGAATGCAGCTCTTTTTAATGCAGTTTAAATAATCGATGGTACATTCAATTACAGAAATATTTGGCAGAGCTCTAAATAGGTCACATCTGTCCTGAAGCATTGTCTGAAGACGTTAAACAATGTCTTAAGGTACATTTCTTAGCGTGCTGTGTCATGCTGACCAAATTCCTTAAGAGCTGGTACCTGGGAGGGAAAACTCCTTGGTTCCACATGCAGTTATCCCCAAATCTCTGCACCTTGTGTATACGATGGGCACTTGGGTTTACTTCAGGGATGCCTTAGTGAGCCTGGCTTGGAGATTTAGGGCATATTCAGCTACTGAATTCTGCAGTCCTGCCATTAGAGCAGTGTAACTGGGCCTGGCTAAGGGGGACCAGTAACAGACAGGGGTTGCCCCCCCCCAGCGTGCTGTTGGGGATGCGATGGCAGCCGGGAGCCGGTGGGGAAAGGGGAAAGCATAAAGCTGAACCTTTGTTCTGGTGACTGTAGGCTTGGAGCTGTTTGCAGGCAGGAGCTGGAGCAGAGGGTGGGCAGGTGCTGGCGGGAACAGTTTGTCTGGGAAAGTTTTCCTCATTGTGTAGAACAATTCTTCTCAGCTGATCCTTCCTGTGGCTGAATCATCGTCTCAGCAAGCACATGAGCTATCCCTGGGGCTGCATCCGGCGGGGTCCAGGGCATCTGGGCCAGGCCAAGGGGAATGGCTTGAACCTGCCCGAGGGGAGACTGAGATGAGCTCTTAGGCAGAAGCTCTTCCCTGGGAGGGTGCTGAGGCGCTGGCACAGGGTGCCCAGAGAAGCTGTGGCTGCCCCATCCCTGGCAGTGCTCAAGGGCAGGTTGGACACAGGGGCTTGGAGCAAGCTGCTCCGGTGGAAGGGGTCCCTGCCCGTGGCAGGGGTTGGAGCTGGAGAAGCTTTAAGGTCCCTTCCAACCCAACCCAGGCTGGGATTCTATGACCTTGCTCTGCCAGCAGAGCCAGAGGGTTCTGGGCCTTTCAGCACCTTGCAGGTGCAGCCCTGCATTTTGGGTTAGAATAAGCACTCCTGGATGTGCTTTTGCTTCAGCCTTCGTTTCCCCTTTGGGACCTGAGTTTTCTCCTTGCTCCGAGGCGGTTTGCAGGGTGAGTGCTGGCATGTTAGCAGCAGAGTCACTGAACACCATCCCTCTCCCCGGTAACAGAAGCCTTCCAAACAAACCAGCAGGGGCTCCGTGCTTGTGCCCCCATGTGTTTGGCCGTTTCCTCACGTAATCTCCACAATATTTGGACACAGTCTTTAATTTGTCTGATTTTTAACTGCCTTTGGCCTCCTCACTTGTGGGCTGGGGCATGGGGCAGCGGGGCTGAGATGGGGGGGGCCCACATATTTAGCAGCCCTGAGTGAGAGCCTGTTTTCTGTGCATGGGTTTGTTCCTCACCCTGTCCAAAAGCACTGTGGGGAGGGCTGAAGTGCTTCGTGGCACCCTCCTGGATGGGGGTTTGGGGCTGAGCCACCTCTTTCCTCTTCTTCAGGGTTGGTTTTATCCCAAGCTGCTACCAGGTGGCTCATCTCCATGGCTCAGGGTTCCTTGTGCTTCTCCCACCCTCCGCTGGCCCTGCTTTGCCATGTCCCTGCAACCCAATTTCTATGTACATGGAAACTGAGACCCAGTTTCCACCTACAAGGAGCGCACCAGAGCTCCTGCTCCGAAATCCATGTGGATCTGAGGCGCCCGCAAGGAAAAAGCCCCAACACCTGCTCTCATCTGACTCAAACCAATGTTGTTCTTGGCCTGTTTCCTTGCACTTTTGTCCCTTAGACCCTCCTTGACATCCTGCTTCTTGCCAAGCGTGGATGAGCTTGGATGGAGGCTGGGGATGAGTGACACGGGTAGGTTCAGCCCAGCGAGGCTGTGGACAAGGGACACAATCGGTTTGTCCTGCAGGCTGCTGACCTTATGAAAGCACCGCCGAGCCGAGCCCTGTGTTATTCTCTGTTCCCTTTTCATGCTGCTCCTTTGTGCTCGTTTGGTCATTGCCGGCCCTTTTGTTTTTACAGCTGGGGGAAGTGTTTTGAGCTTTAAAGTTTATTTTCTTCCCTCTGGTTGGCGTCACAGGTTTGGGTTTGCTTTTTTTCCTCCCTGTGGCATCTTGCTGGATTTCCATGGAGGTGGGATCAGCTCTGCGTTCCTTGCCTTTCCAATGGGCTTCTTTCCTTTGCACCCCCAAACCAGCCCGGGGGCTGCCTTAGAGCCTGCTCCATCCTCAGAGAGCAGTTACAGACACCCATGGGCTGTGATACTGGAGAGAAGCAGTGGCCTGGCCCACAGCAGAAGCTTTGAATGCTGCTTCAGATTTGAAACATGGTTGGAAACACGTGCATCATCTCCCAGAGCAGCATCTAAAAGACCAGGAGTAACTGAAGTTATTTCTTTGGCTCTTCCCCCCTCCTTTTGGCTTTTTCTTTGTTGTTGGTTATTGATTTAATTCCTCTCCATACTCATCCCTTGTCCAAAGCCAATGGGGAATGGATCATTTTTACCAGTGCCTGGTACTGCTCCCCTCTTTCCCCAGTCCCCGCAGGGGGGGTTGGAACTGGATGAGCTTTAAGGTCCCTTCCAACCCAAACCAGGCTGGGATCTATGATTGTAAGTGGCTGTCTTCAGTCAAGCTGTACCACCCTGTGCCTGGCCATGCTCCATCCCTTCCACACGGGCGACCGGCCGGGCTGCAGCTACCAGCATGGAAGCTCCCACTCTCAAACGACATCCACCAAAGTACTTTCTTTGTCCTCAGGCAACAGCTGTCTCAGCCACCTTTGGTCCGACCTCACATTGGAAGCAGTGGAAGGGATGAAACAGAGCTGCCCCTACCTGGGGTGAGCACTCCTGATCTGTACCCTGAGCCTCCAGGGTAGCATTCCCAGCATCCCTTTGCTGCCCTCCAGGTGTTTGGTGGCTTTGGGGGCATTTTGTTTGCCTTTTTTTTTTAATTATTATTATTATTATTATTATTCCTGTTTTTCAATTCTTTTGTCATGCACCAGGAAAAGGAAGCACACAAATTGTATGGGCCCATCCACGAGCCACGTCCTGTAAACAGCTGCCGGCCGCCTGCCTTCCCCCCCCCCCCCCCCCCGTTATTTTCCTCTTGGTGGCTGGTAAATAAACAGGCAAAGCTTCTCCCAGTGCCCGCTGCTCCCCTTGCAGGGGCTCTGCCTGCACCCAGAGGCCTTGCCCAGGGGATGCCTGCATGCTGGAATGGGTTGGTGGGCTTTTCCATGCCGGAGTCGGCAGATCTGGGGAGGCAGCTCTCTCTCCACAGGAAAAACAAGGTTGCTGGTTTGCCTGGGACTAAAGCTAATTACCAGACGACTAATTTTATTGATTTCAAATCCCTTTTAGCAGAGATTTTGCTGTGAGGCTGATCGCCAGGGCGATTAGGGGACAAAGGCGCTTAATTTGGAAGTGTTTATCAGGCAGCCTTCTGTCACCTCTGCTTCAAATCAAACTGCAGTGGCACCAGTGGAGGCAGGTGGGGAGCGAGTTTCCATTGCTGCTCCTAGAGCAACCTGGGGGCGAGCGGAGGTTAAATGTATTCATAACAGAATCATCATGGGATCACAGAATGGTTTGGGTTGAAGGGACCTTAAAGCTCATCCAGCTCCAACACGGGCAGGGACCCCTTCCACTGGAGCAGCTTGCTCCAAGCCCCTGTGTCCAACCTGGCCTTGAACACTGCCAGGGATGGGGCAGCCACAGCTTCTCTGGGCACCGTGGGACAGCGCCTCAGAACCCTCCCAGGGAAGAGCTTCTGCCTAAGAGCTCATCTCAGTCTCCCCTCTGGCAGGTTCAAGCCATTCCCCTTGGCCTGTCCCTACATCCCTTGTCCCAAGCCCCTCTCCAGGTTTCCTGCAGCCCCTTCAGGCACTGGAGCTGCTCTCAGGTCTCCCCTTCAGGAGCCTTCTCTTCTCCAGGCTGCCCCAGCCCAGCTCTCTCAGCCTGGCTCCAGAGCAGAGCTGCTCCAGCCCTCGCAGCATCTCCATGGCCTCCTCTGGCCTCACTCCAGCAGCTCCACGTCCCTCTTGTGCTGCTGCCCCAGAGCTGGGTCAGGGCTGCAGGGGGCTCTCCCCAGAGCACAGCAGAGGGGCAGGTTTCCCTCCCTGAGCTGCTGCTCACTCTCTGGGGATGCAGCCCAGCACAGGGGGGGCTCTGGGCTCAAGCGCACACTGAAGCCAGGTCATGGGGAGCTTCTCATCACCCAGCACCCCCAAGTCCTTCACCTCACGGCTGCTCCCATAATCACAGTGGGCTGCTGGCCACAGGGGTTTCATCCCCAACTGACCAGGTTCCTGCCCTGCTTCCAGACATGGCCATTGCTGCAGGTGCAGAGCTGAATTTGCCTCCTTGGCTTTCAAAGCCTCACTGCAGGCTCTTTCTGCTGGGCAGACCCTTGAAGTCAGAAGATGCCGTCTTGGTGGTAGCTGTGGCTGCTCCCAAACCTTGCCCAGCCACCAAAGGGGCTTGGCCTAAATATTTTTAATAGACTTTACAAAAAAAAAAAAAAAGCCCAGCCTTGTCGTTTTGATGGGAATCAGCTTAGGGATTGTGCTTTGGTGCTGGCAGATTGTGGAGGCCGGGGGGGAGGGAGATGCTCAGCAGCAGTTTCCCCCACTGGGATCCTCGGGGCTGCTGTGAGGGTCCCCTCACTGCATTCTCCTCCTGACATTGAAAGCAAGGCACCTTGGAGTCATTGGAGCCTGCAGGGCAGGATTTAATAGCACAAACTCTATCATCTTGCTGCACAAACAGGGTCTAAGAGGTCCCAGGAGCAAAGTGTCCTGCTCTGTGTCCCTGCACATCCTGCAGGTGAGGAGGGGGAGCTGCTCACCCCTGGGGCTTTGCTCATAAAAGAAACATTACAGATTGAGCTTACTTTGCAAGCCCTTGGCCTGAATGCAGAGGCCATGTGCTGGGGAGTCCTCCTTGGCCATCGCCTGGTGGGCAGAGCAGGGGCTGGCCCCAAAGCCAGGCTCCCCCCCCAGAAGCCACATCCCAGGGCTGGGTTTGAATCAGGGGGTTCAGGGCTGTAGAACACCTTGGGGGGGTTTGCTCGAGGACCAGTGCTGCTTTCCCAGGCACGGGAAGCAGAGCAGCATCTCTTGGTGTGGCACTTTTGGCCCTTGGGACGCTGTAGGTGGGGGCTGGAGGGCACAAACTGAGCCGCAGGGACTCTTTAAGTGGCTGCTGGGATGTGGGGATGGGGCAGAAAAGCCTCCACCCTCCCCCTTAATGCCTTTTCTGGCTTCAGAATTGGGTGTTTCAAGTGGTTTTGTTCCTCCTGGATGGGGAGCGGCTCCTGGTGCTCATGTGTGCCTAGCCTTTTACTATGGCTCCATAAGGGGTGAAGGGCTTTTTTGCTGGGGCTAAATGTGGACAAATGCTTTTTTATCCATGCTGAGAGCTTAGGATGGGTCTTGTCTCTCAGCTCGTTTTAGCTGCGGCACAAAAATCGGGGGGAGGGGGGGGAATATGACTGCCTGACAGCTACATCTTACCCCATTAGTGTATTTTAATTAGAACATGCGCAAGAAATGTGTTATGAATATTCATGACCACGGTTATTAAAACACACAATTAATATGCAGGGTTTTTAATAACTGTATTAATGGAGGGAGAAGGTAGCTCCTATTTTTGTCTTTTTGGAATTGGAAAGAGCCTTAACTTGGTAAGGTGGGAAATGGCCTTGTTGAAAATGAAGCTACATCCTGACAGTTGGGTGCACACAGGGGTGGCTCCCACTGCACACACCCTGCGGTGCACAGCCCTTGTGCATGGTGCAAAGCCAGGCACTCAGAAGCTGAGATACACCAGTGTTAAGCTCACTTGTGCAGATGGAATTCAGCCCCGTGCCATGCAAGTTCTGGCACAGTCTTTGTTGATCACTTGGGTTCATAGAATTATAGAATCCCAG